CAAATGAAGTTCTTAGCAATGCATATTACTAATCAAACATTAAGTTTTGATATATTTACGGTAGGACATTTACTAAATATCTTCATGGAACATGATCTCTACTTAATATCCTAATGATTTTTGGCATAAAAGAGAAATGTATAATTGTGACCCATACAATGTATTGTTGGCTATTGCTACAAATATCCCCCAGCGACTTAACACTGCTTTTGTGCTGCAGGGTCACATTTTGGATAGAAGACCATTCCCAACACCTAATTTTAGGGTTTTCTATGGAACATATAGATGCATTTTTGCTAACATTTTCTGGCTCCACTCCGATGTCCTCGCAGAACTTCTCCATGCTCTCTGGTCCGACAATGTCATCTGAACCTACACATTTAAAACCACAACAATAATCAGATCAGCTCAAGAAGGAATATTTCACCCAAAAAATGTGCTCACTCTCAGTCCATCCAAGATTAGGATGAGTTTGTTTCTTCATCAGATTTGGAAAAATGTAGCACTGCATCAGTGTCTCAGCAATGGATGCTCTGCAGTGAATGGGTGCCGTCAGAATGAGAGTCCAAACAGCTGATAAAAACATCACAATAATCCACAGCACTCCAGTCCATCAGTTAACATCTGGAGAAGACAAAAGCTGAAACACATCCAGCATTAAGACGCTTTAACTAAAATACATTGAGTGCATAATCCATAATAACGCTTCCTCCAGTGAAAAAGTGCATCTGCTGTTGTCTCTCACATCAAAATCCAGCCACATATTAGTTTAGAGCCGTTTAAACGCTGCTTGATCTGTGCAGATTTCTCTCCTGATTCACACCAGAACACCGACTCACTGGAGGAAGTTATTATGGATTATGAACTCTATGTATTTTAGTTAAAAACGTCTTAATGCTGGATTTGTTTCAGCTTTTGTCTTCTCCAGATGTTAACTGATGGACTGGAGTGCTGTGGATTATTGTGATGTTTTTATCAGCTGTTTGGACTCTCATTCTGACGGCACCCATTCACTGCAGAGCATCCATTGCTGAGACACTGATGCAATGCTACATTTCTCCAGATCTGGTGAAGAAAAACTCATTGGATGGTCTGAGGGTGAACGCATTTTTAGGAAATGTTCATTCTTTGAAATGTCACATTACCAAAGTAAAAAAAAAAAATGATGTTGACTTTTATTAAAGGCTGCATGTGAGTAAGCAAAGTATTGGTTTATGTACCTGCATATTCATAAAACCAGGCGAGACATTTCTTGCTAGAGAACTGGTCATCTGGGTTAAGCAGCCGTCCTGGAGTTTGCGTCCTACAGTAACTGGATTTTAAAGAGGTGATGATACAGCGACTGATGTATGAAAGAGTGAAAGATGCAGAGAGAAACTCACAAATATTTTTACCCGGTGATTTTGCACTTTCTGATGCTGGGGTCCTCGGATCCGGACGACTTTCTTTTCTTTTTCACAGGCATAATTGAGGTTTGGGTGAGTTGGTTTGGTCTTACTAAACAAAGCACAAACGAACAGAACAAATTGAAGCCGACAGCTGCTTTCCTTCCCGTCCAATTCAATATTTGAGGGTCAGTGAAGAGCAGAAAGCAGCTCTACCTGTGTACCTGCGGGCACCTCGTCCATTCAAGTGTAGCAGACTCTAAAAACAGGAAGAAAAACAAAATGCATACTTGATGCATGACTTGCAGGATACAAACAGAATTAAATCTTAATTCATGCTCAAATTCAAATGTGTGTCTTTCAAGACTTACAAGTTACAAGACAAAGATTTGCCACAGATGTCTCTTTTCTTCTTAACGCTTCCTGCTTTACAAAAGGGATACATTATATATATATATATATATATATATATATACACACACACATATATACAGTATATATACACACACATACAGTATACACACACATATATAGTATATATATACACGCACACACAGTATACTCACACACACAGTATACTCACACACACACACACAGTATACACACACACACACACACACACATATATACTGTATATATACACACAGTATATACACACACACATACAGTATATACACACACACACACAGAATATACACACACACACACACACACAGTAAATACACACACACACAGTATATACACACACACACACATACAGTATATATATAGATAGATAAAACATTGACATGCATGATATATTTGTCGTTAAACTCCATCAAAAACAGCTATTAATATGTATATCATCACAATTTTAATTTCCAACTCAAACTCTGATGTTGTGTAAAACAGAATACACACACATGAGTACAGTAACACCTGAACTCCTGCTAACAGCCTTGTATCTGTATCTTATTCTGAACACAAACTAGAAGGATTGCTTATTAAACTGATATCACTGCTCGACTGAAGGGTCCTCAAGAGCCGAGGCGATACTAAACCCCCTTTGAGTCACACAAGTTATGCTCAAAGATAGTTTAATTTTTAAAACAAACAACTTAAGAACAATCAGATAATAAAAGCGAGGAGCTGTTTAGCACAAATGTAAAATATAAAAAACTGCTTAATGCCAAAAGCCTGAAAGTCATCTAAACGTGTAGAATAAATACAAATACACATATATTACGGGATAATTTACAAGAGCGCCAGAAATAACTAGTAACGTTAGTTAGAGTGAAACTGAACACAAACACAGGCGTGATGCATGAACCTATACGAGTAGTTAGCATCTCACCGGCTCATCTAAACATCACAAATAAACACTCGCTAACTCTCCACAGGTACCAGACTCCGTGTACTGAAGCGAGCTCTCATCAAACCTGGCACACCTGCTGCTTTTGCTTCGGCCCGCTGAGTTTATATGTCAACAACTTCATCAGCGTTTATGCTAACATCTGCGACCGCTTCGGCTTCACGCTGGAGGAACGGACACTTCCGGCTCCCCGAAAGACATAATAAAAGTCACGCAGTTTAAATTTCAACATTTTTTTCCCCGTATTTCTCTTGCGCTGTGCGTCACATTGCATAGCAATATTGCTTTTGAGAATTTAGTAGTTATTATATTAGCCATGTTCGAGGAAGCAAAACAGGCTCTTATTTATTGATCATGAAAAAAGTCATCTCAATACATATTCACTACAACATGACAAAGCAAGGTTTGAAAACTGATGACTAATGTGACTAATGTTTACAATCCTAATTCAAGCTCTTCAAGCTCTTTCAACAGCTGGGCCTCTTTCTGCATCTTCTCAAGCTGTAAAAAAAAAGGGGGGGGGGACTATTATAATATTTATGTAATAATAAATAACTTTTAATCATGCTGATGAGCATTGCTTTATTACCTGATTTTTTTGCATGACTTTGCCGGCCGCCTGCTGCTCCTTGAGTTCATCAATGGCTTTGAGTTTCTGCCAGATAAACGTGAAAATCCCATTAACACATGCCTGATGCATCACTTTTGGCTTACATGTACAATATATATATATATATATATATTTTTTTAACTGGCATAAATGAGAACTTCACAGGGTTTTGTAATTTAAAAAAAATATTTGGACAATTTACTCAAAATAAAGGTATGTTGCCATACCAGTAGCCGAGGCTATTCTTATGGAACAAAACAAAATAAAAGTAGGCCCATTTTACTCTAAACCGGTTTATTCCAAGTCAAGAGTAAATGGCAATTTTATTTCTTTACCGCCAAGATATTTTTTCTCACTGTAATTTAAAAAAATTACATTTTAACAGGGAAAGAAAAAACTTTTACATTTTTTTTAAACTGGTATAAATGGGAACTTTACAGGGTTATTCAATAAAAAAATAAAATAAATTACATTTGGACAATTTACTCAAAATAAAGATATGTTGCCATGTCAGCAGCTGAGGCTATTCTCACGGCAAGAGCTACGTAAAGTAACAAAATAAAATAAAGAAATGAGGAAAAAATAAAATTAAAAGTAGGTCCATTTTACTTTGTGGTCTATTCCAAATCTGTTCGTTTCTTTACCTTCAAGAAGTTTTTCTCACTATAATTAAAAAAAAATTACATTTTGACTGAGAATTTTTTATTTTTTTGTAAAACTGGTATAAATGGGAAATTAGGGTTATTTAATTGAAAAATAATTTATGTTGCCATGTCGACAGCTGAGGCTATTCTCACTGCAAGAGTAAAAAAAATTTTAATAAAAAATGTGATAAAATAAAATAAAAAATTAAAATAAATAAAAAAATATTTTTAAATTAAAAATACAAATAAAATAATAAAAAAATAATAATAATAAAAAAATAAAAAATACAAATACAAATAAAAAATAAAATAAAAAATGTAATTAAATAAAAAAGTATCATAAAAGTAGGTCCATTCTACTCTGTGGTCTATTCCAAGTCCGAGTAAAAGACTCGTTTTTTTCTCACTGTACCCATGTATACACGCTGATCTTACTTGATTGTAAACATATCCCAACCATTTCACCTTTTTCAAATTCTTGATCTTTTTGTCAGTTTCAGGGTCTCCACAGCTAGAAGTCACATGACTGGCAGGGGCGGAGTCTGCTACCGGAGGCGGAGCTTCATCGGGCTTGGTCTCCTGAATCAACAGAATGCATCACTTATTCTTCTTCACGCTTTATTGAACAAATGCAGATACCGAGCTCCGGTGTACCTGCTTAGCTGCTTTCTTCGCCTCTCGCTTTTTCTGGTTTTTCAAAGCAGCTTTCGACATCTGCTTCTCTCCTGCAGCACCAGGCTTCATGTTCTGCGGCGGCTCTTCTTCATGCTTGGATAGACACATTATTGTCACAGGACATTCATAATCTGGAGGAAAAGAGAATCTGGGCCCCTATTCACAAAACATTTTATCTTACCCCTAAGAGTTCTCCTAAATAGCAGTAAAAGTTTTTAGCTAAGAGTTTTCTCTTAAAGCTACCGAGACAAACTTGTACTGAAGAATAGAGAGAAGTGTTAAACTCAGAGTAAGGGGGCGGGGCTTACCTCATTGCTATGGATGATGTCAGCGTGCTCATTAACTATGCACACAGTGATTGGCTGATAGTCTCCGTCAGAGATTTATTTATAGAAATATCCTAGAGCGCGATATTATGTTGCCATAATCAAATAAAGGTTTAAAAATAAAAATGTTGCCACATTCAAATACAGATTTTAAAATGCAGGCTAAGTGTAACTAATTAAACAAGTATATGTTCAGCTAATTGTCAGCCTCTTATACGTGTGCTTCTCAAAAACAATTAGCAGATATGCATATAAATTTTAATTAACAGAGTAGATCATGGCTGATAGTAAGACATGCAAATGTAAAAGAAAACCAAGAACAGCTGTTACTTAGAACATCGCTGCTTAATGAGAACAAGGATATAATCAAAGCAAAATATGGATTTGGGATAACCTCCAAAACCGAAAAAAGATGCGTGGGAAAACATGTGTGTGCAAATAAATGCAGCATGTTTCTAAAATGTTTATGTTCCGAGGCAGATTCCCGGCAACAGCCATTTTAGCCCAGCTAATGTAATAGTTTTACTGGTTATAATGGGAATTATACTGGCTTTAATGGTGCCTGTTGGTCTCTATTGGTCATCTTCTATTGTTGGCTTGTTAAAACCACTAAACCCTAATGGAACATGTCCCAAAACACACTACGGAAAACCACTTGTATAATGGTTAAAAGTTGATGGTTTCTAAAGTTAAACTATTTGTAGTGGAAACCATTATAAGTTCTGTGATGGTTTATAGTTTGTGGCTTGGTCTTAGTGACTTAAGAGTCCTCTTCACTACTGCTAACGTTTGGCAGATTTAGGAGCTAGATTAAACACTAAAACGCTTTGTGAAATACTTGCTTGAGCAAGTCTAAAACTTAGGACTGACACGCCCATTATGTTCTCCTAAATCGGCGAGTTATGAGCTACTTTTAGCTTTAAGATGTTTTGTGAATAGGGCCCAGGATTGCAGGAACTCACTAGTTTGGAGCTGGCGGTCTGGGGCTTGTTGCGGAGAGCGGGTGGACGATACGCCTGCGCCGGTTTGGCTTCAGTGCTGCCGAGCTCACTCGGAGACGCCTGGTATTTCACAGGCTTCTCTGGGAAGGCTCCAGTCGGAAAGGGCTGCCACAAAACTTCCCACAGCTCTTTATTTGACGGCGTGTCATGCTTGTACAACACAGTCCCGGTGTAATGCCAGATCTTGTATCCGTTGCTGACCCTGAGCCTGGGGGAGCAGGTCGACGTCACTATGTGCTCTCCGTCAGGACACCAGGAGAAATGTGTGGTGTCTTCAGCCTGGGGTTTAGACACCTGCTTGTATTTCTTCACGTCCCAAACTTCCATCTGCCCTCTCAGGTTCCCAAACCCGGCCAGGACGAGGATGTGGCCCTGGGGGCTGTAGAAAGCCGCGTTTCGGGGGCCCGTGCCGAAGTCAAACACGGACTCACACTTGTGGTTAAAGACAGTCGCCTTGGCGGGCATGAAACCATAAACCACACAAAACTCTGAAGAGTTGGGGTTCCAGGATACATCATATATGGGGCCGTTCTTTGCTGTGCAGGATGAAAAAATATCCATGTAGTCATTAACAGAATCATTTTATTATTAAAACTAGCATAATGAATACAATCATTACAGTATGTATAAGCACTTTACATTTGCATTTAAATAACATATATTATTTCTATTACATTAATGAGAAAAGATGATGCAAAAACATCTTAATGGAGCAACAAAAATGATTTGATTTCCTTCAAAACAGACACAGCCATTCAAACATTTGGGGTCTGGAAGATATTTTTTGCTCACCAGGGCTGTGTTTATATGGTGAGAAATACAGTAAAAATTGTGAAATATTATTATTATTTAAA